GCCTGGGGCAAAGCAGCCTGTGTGGGGCCCCCCTCCCTGTCCCTTGGCACACTGACACTGGGGAGTGCACAAAATGGTTCACATTTGATTAACCAGCATATCTGATTAACCAGCATCCCCCATTCCCAGGGGATGCCAGATAACAGAGCTTTTACTGTATGTAAAATACATTCACATTTACAGTTGTGTATGTGCAGGGCCCCAAATCATAAAAGGCTGACTTTTTTTTTTTAATCTCCATGATGAATGGATATGCCACAATGGCAATGTTAACCCATTTGAACACCTCATGACTGATAGCTTTTTTTTTCTTTTTCCTCATTTAGAACAACTTCTATGACTGACAAGCCCTATGAAAAAGATGCTTGTGTGGCAGTTAGCCTATTCAAATGGTATTCATCCAATTGAGTTTTTGTTGATTTTCCTAACTAGTCTTTCCTACTTTTAGTAGAAACAGAAAGTTTGATTTTTTTTCTTCTTGTAATTACTATGAACTCTAGGTAATCAGATCTTGAGGTGAAGGAGATAAATACCTGCAAGCATTTCACAATAGTTTGAACAATTAAATGCATATTTTGGTATGCAAAATATTTGTAATTTACACACAGTGTGGTTTACTCCTGTAATATAATGAGCATTGAGCAGTTTACATTCTGTCAATTTTTGCAGGAAAAATAGAATCTATAAAGGAACTTATCTCTTTTCACCAGCAAAATAGACTTTATTTTTAAGCACACATATATATTGTACCAGTGATGTAAGATATTTAAACAATTCTTTGCATATGGAAAACATTTCTATTTGACTTTAAAAGAAAGAGCAGGTGCAAAATATAGGACTACAGCAGCTAGACACTAAACTAAAGATTTTATGAACAGCCTAAAAGAGTTAGAATAGGATCTGGCTCTCACTCATTGCTGTGAGGATTGTATTAGCGGGCGTTTTTACACATGCTCTGAATGGGTGGGGGAGGGGGCGCTTTAATAAGAGCACCCCTGATTGCTGCTCTAATTAAAGTGCCTGAAGCATCTTGTGTATCAGTGTCTTTACACTTCAAAATGGCAGTGGGGGTGCTTTAGCTAAAGCTCATCAAATGAAATGCTATAATTACAGAGCATAAGAGCAGCCTCCAGGCTTGTGTATAGGCACCCAGGGATGTACAAGTTAAATGTTTAATTATTTAAACAATAAGCCCAGTGATAACCAGTTAGTTTACCAGCTATCATTTAGAGTGGGGCAGGGCATGGGGTGAAGTCATCAGAGAAGGGGGGAAGGGAAGCTGTAGGTACCCCAGCAGGAACCAGAAGGTGGCAAGGCAGACAGGAGAGAGGAAGGAGGGAAAGGGTGAGGTGGGACTAGTACTCGTGGTCTATGAGGTTAAAGAGGAAAACAGTGGGCAGCTTAATGACTTGTCAACTAAGCACAGTGGTGAAGCATAGGGGATACACAGGGGTGCATGTGCACCCCCTGAGAGTGCTGGTGCACCCCCTGACTGGCCGCACTCCCTGCTTAGGCGATGGGCAGGTGGGGTAAGCAGGAGCACCGGTGCCCCACCACAAGTTTCAGCCAGGGAGTGGAGTGCTGCTGTGCTCCCAGAAGTGGCCGCAGCCTGGTTGGTGGGGTAGGCTGCAGGGGTCTTGCCCCCTGGTCGGCAGGATCAGCTGCAGAGGGACCTATGTAACTATGAGCTCCAACAGAGCTGGAACACTCTAACCATGTGGCAGAGAACTGGAAGAGGTTTGAATAACAATTCAAACTTCAGATTGTGACTAACTCTTGCCTATGTGACTTCCTTGGTTGCCTGCTGTAGTATCTCTGTCTGTGTACCCAGTCCTGGAACCTCAGTTTGATCTCTGTTCACTTCCTGACATCATCTTCTGGAAACCCCTCTGGTTTGGTGTGTGAACCCCGGTTTGATCTTGGATGCTGGTAATGCTTCCCCCCCCCACACACACACTTTAACCACTAGGTCTAGCACCTCTGTGGGCCCTGAAACAGTGGAAACAAATGGACATCATGTGGCTTTTAAACTGGATACTGGCACAGAAGCTAATGTTAAACTAAAGTTGGGTATTTGACTGGTCAAATATAGGTTAAAAATTGTAAAAAAAAAAAATAAATCAGATAAATCACATTTTTACATATGCAAGGGCCACATCAATGGGCACTTTGAAAAGCAGCCAGTACTGCAATGTTTGCAGTTGTATAAGTGGCAAAATGCACGTCAGCACTGAGAAAATACCAGTGGTGTACTTTTGAACTAAAACACCTTGGATGTGCCTTAGTACAAAAGTATACTGCTGCCATTTTCTGTGTGCTCATGTAGCAAAACCCCCAGTTTTTCTTTTTTTTAAAATTTATTTTAAAATGCACTCACTCCCCTTCTCCAACCATTTCTAACTTTTTCTCTCCCTCTCTATTCCCTATAGCTAAGTATAAATAAGCTAAGATGTAGGATATGCTTTACCATTTTATTTTAGGTAGTCAGTTTTATTTTTTCCTCCCCTCTTTGCAAATAAGTGCCCTGCTATTTTGATATAGATATCCACTGTTTTATAAGTGATAATTATTATGTTTGTATTGATTTTTTTTACTGTGTTTATATTGTGTGATTACTGTTTTAGGCCTATATATGTAAGTTAGCATATGTCATGTCAAGTTTCCATCTTGTAATGTCAAGCCTCCATCTTATCCCCATGCCCGGTTGCATAACCTATGACTTGTACTACCCCTCCTATATAACTTGGTTTCTGAATGAATGGGGATGAATGAGGGTACTTGAGAGACAATGGCAGTAGATCTAAAAATAGCTCCCTCTGAATGACCAAACCATCAACACCAATACCTGGAACAATGACCCAGCCCTTGAAACCACCCTCAGCATTCAAGAAACAAAAGATGAGGCAATTCATCATTGTGCCAAGGCTGCACATGCTCAATAAGAACACCTGGAGCCCTCTAGAACAGGGCTGACATTGCCTGGACAGGCCCTCCCCACTGGAGATCAGAGGTAGTCTGCCCCATAAAAGGGAGTAGTAAAACTAATTCTATGGGACGCCCTCTCCATCTGGACAAGCACCATGTCACACCACCTATCCACCCAGAGGCCCTGCTGGTGACCCCTTCTGGACAACACCTGCTGGACAAGGACCCCTTTCCAGCCTGGATAGGTAGCTATCATTCCCTACACCCTCTTCAGCCAAGGACTTGTTCTCTGTTTCTCTTCCCTACCTGGATTCCAGCCCTTCCACTGAGTCTCTTTCTCCTGCTGCCATTGTGAGTGTGTGTGTGTCTATGTGGGGGGGAACCAATAACTTCATGGGGCTGTGTAGTGTGTTGCTTGTTTAATAAACCTGTTATTTTGAAACCCCGAGTTGGGTTTTTGTCTGTTTACTGACTGTTTCCTCCTTGCCATGACTTATCTGCCCCCCCCCCAATCTCTATGCTGTCAGCCTGTTTCCAGCCCCAAGCTCCCAGGTTTCTGCCTCTCTCTCTGTTTCCTGGCTGTCTCCTCCTTGCCACCACTTATCTGCCCCCACCCCCTGCAATATCTCAGCTGTCTGCCTCAGTTTTCAGACCCAATCTACCTTAAGTAACCACAAGCCTCAGTTCCTCAGCCAGCTTCTCTCTAGTCCACCAGTTCTAATTCCAGTTCTGGCAACTTTTCACTCCCTACTCTTTAACTCTCTCTCTCTCACCATAACCTCCCCCCAAGTATCCCAGGTACCCCAAGCACACACATACATACCGTACCATGCAAGTTAGAAATTTACCTATGTGTAGATGGGTTGTATGTGTGTGAACTGCTGAGAGCATGTGTGTGTGTATGTATATGTGCGTGTGTGTGTGTGTATATACACACACACACATACATACATATATACATATACATGTCATTGTGTGCATGATATACAAATTAGTGATCTGTGTATGTGTACTGAGTGTACGGGTATAGACAATTGATTTTTGTCTAACTTTTGGGGTGTATAGTGTATGTGCTTGAATTGGTGATAGGTATGCATGTGTCTAGGCTAGTTTGGATGTCTATGTGCCTGAGTTGGTAGTGTGAGTGTATATGCACCTACTTGATTTGTGTGTTTGTATATGTGCAATTGTGTTACACCCTCCTGTCTAACAGTGCAATATTGAGATCCTGAGAGTTGGCATGACCCCACAGGGCAACACTTACATGCATTTCACTGCTGAGACAACTGCATGTGATGCAGTGCAGTTCACTTCAGCTCACGTGCAGAGCAGACTCGATTAGTCAAGTCTGCTTTGAAGTGGCAGATGTTCAGCACATTGCAGGTAAAAAAAAGTATGTGTATAAATGCCCAATAGGTTCAAATAATACATAGGAAAGGCACATTTTTCCATGGAGAAATGTGTCAAAAAACAATACAAAATCACATTTCTGTCAAGAAAATGACAAAGCAGGTGAGGGACCTCCAGGAGGAGGTTAGCAGGCTGAGG